GCGGCGCGCGGCTTCCTCACGACCGTTGTCTGCTCGCTCGGCCTCTCGGCCTCCATCTTCGCCGCCTGCTGGCGCCGCTTCCGCTCCGTCTCTCGCGAGCAGCGGTCGCGGCTCAACGACGTCCAGGCGCTCAAGTCGGTGCTCGCGAGCCTCGACACCGTCGGGCTGCTGCTCCGCTCGCGGCCGCCGCTGCCCGCGGACCCGAGCAGGCTCAAGTTCGAGCTGCAGTCGCTGCTCGCTTCCTCGGGGTTGCCACGCTTCGGCGCGCCGCCCGCCCGCGCTCCCCGGCCGCACCCCCGTCGGTGCAGCCGCCGAACGGTCCCCGCGCGCGCCCCCTTCCGGCTTGCCTCAGGAGCGAAGGAGCTCGCGCTGCTCGGCTCGATCCTCTCCCGACAGCGCGAGGCGGAAGAGACGCACCCGACCGGCGACATGGACGCAGTGCAGGGGCCGCAGTGGGCGTGGAGCAAGACGCCCTTCGGGGGCGGTTAGGCTTAGGAGGCTGCCCCAGACGACTGAAGTTAAAGGACAAAGAGAGAGCTTACAGCGTTGTCCGCGTGAGTGGCATTGCTAAATGCGGCATGAGGCATAGTCGAATACGGGCGTACATGTTTGGAGTGTCGTGTGAAAAAAGCGGCAATTTTGGGCCAGTGTAAATAAAACGGAATCCCAAGCTAGGGCTGGGCGCCTCGCGAATTCTTGTTTCGCAGAGCGGCCTCCTCGAGCCACACCGCGGGAAACACGTGTGCCTACAGGTCAACGCCGTAATGCCCTGCCCCAAACTGGGTCCGGCACCCACCAAGTTTGACGAGGTGTGCTCACGAGTCGCTGCCATGGAGCCGATCATGCCGATTAATCCTTCCTACACGGCCGCCGCCAACCCTTGCGTTGCCTCGCTCATCGGCGTCCAGCCTCACTGCCTCCCGCTCATCTATGTCATATCCGGCTGGCACATGTTCTCCGACGAGTCGCTCGGCTGGTTGAAGACGATCGATGGGGTGGAGACACGCAGCGGCCCGTGCTTCGACGATTGGCCTGACGATTCTGGAGCGGCGCGGTGGGTGCGGGCGTGGGAGCCGATGCCACAGGAAGGCCGTGTGATTCTCGCCCACTGCAACAAGCTGCTGAGCTGGTACCCTGCGTTTGCGGGGCGGTACACGAGCGCCTGGGGCAAGTCGTACGCTCCTTGCAAGGAGCGCTCCATCGCCACGCTAAAGCCGGGCGAAGACTACTACCGGGATCGGATGTGGCAAGTGTGCCGCCCACAGGCGCTGGCCGCGCATGACGCGGCCATGGGCACGGGCGGCGTAGGGCTCGAGGCGACGCCGCCCTTTGTCATGCGGGCCCTCTACGGCGAGCGCGTGCGGCTGGTCGCGGCGCTGCGCAGCCCGGTCGACCGGCTGGAGACGTCCTTCTGGGTCCACGCCCACTACCCGCGACGGTACGGCGCCTCGGCCGAGGGGCTGCACGCGTACGTGACGGAGCAGACGGCCGCCTTTTCCGAGTGTGTGGGCGAGCACGGCGCACGGCGGTGCGAGGCTCCCATCCCCCTGGTATGGTAGCCTCTCGCGGACCTCTCCCGGGTCGTGTCTCAGGTGCGCCTTCCTGTTTGAGCTGCTCGACCGCCGCTACTCGGACGTCTTCTTCCACTGCGACCAGATCATCCGCGGGCTGTACCAACCCTTTGTCGAGGACTGGCACGCCGCCTTTGGCAGCAAGGCGCTGCTCGTCCTGCGAGTCGAGGACCTGATCGAACGGCGAGGGCACCTCACCCGGTCGCACCACCCCCCACCCCAGGCCTCCCACCCAGCCCTACCCTCCCCACCGACCGACAGGCCGGCAGAGGCACGCCGCAGCCTCGTCGCCTTCCTCGGAGGCGCCGTCTCCGCCGCCGCCGCCGACGCGGCGCCGCTGCCGCCTCGCTCGTACGCCGCGCTGCACGCCGAGTCGCTGCAGGCCGCAAAGGCCGTCCCGATGCGCAACGACACGCGGAGGGCTGCGGAGGCCTTCTACCGCCCGTTCAATCTCGCCCTCGCATCGCTCCTCGGCTGGCCAGTGCGCGAGGCGTGGCAGCACTCTTCGGCTGCCTCGGCGAGAGTCTGAGTTTCTTCAAAAAGAAAGAAAAAAGAAAATCGTTGCCGCCTTGGGAAGAAAAAAGAAAATCGTGGTTCACGCTACGTATATGCCGGCATCGCGTACCGCGCGGACCGCGACGAGGCCCTCTCCCTACGCCCGGCCGGCCGCCCGAGAAGAGCGGCGCGGCTCCTTCTTTGGCCGGGCGCTCGAGATTGCCACCGCGCCGTTCACATACCTCCTCGGCGGCGACGAGGCGGAGGCGGAGGGCGCAGCCAACGGTGTCGCGGCATCAGCGAGCGAGGGCGTGGAGCAGCCAGGACTCGCCCGCGGCCTACCCTCGTCCGCTCTCCCGGCCGCCTCCGCCGACGAGCAGCCAGCGGAGAGGGCCGAGAGGGCCGAGCTGGCGGCCGCCACACCAGTCGCCACGCCGCCCGCCTCGCTGCCGGGTTACACGTCGGTGCCGAACTCGCTCTCGGCGCGGGGGCTGCGCGAGGGGGATCGCGTGCAGGTGCGCGACGACGGCGAATGGGCGGGCGGCGTGGTCGCCGGCTTTGACGAGGCCGGCCGGCCGTGCGTGGTCAAGGACGGCTGGCACGATGCCTTTGTGTGGCGGGAGTGCAGGCTGACCGAGAGCGGAGCGACCGGGTCGCCGGCGCCGCTCGCCGGCGCCGCCGCCTCCTCCTCCTCCTCCGCCGCCGCCGGCCCCTCCTCCTCCTCCGCGGCGGTGCCGTTGCACGTCCCGGCTGCACGGCCGAGCGCCGCGCCTTCGCTCTGCGCGCCCGCGCCGGCGGCGGCGGCGGCGCAGTGGCCGGCGGCGCTGATGCCGCCTGCGGCGGCGGCGGCGTCGCAGCGGCAGGAGTGGGACGCGGAGAGCGTCCGCCGCGCGACCGTCGACCTCGTCCGCCAGCGCGTCGCCAAGGAGCGGCGGCGGCCGTACCCGTTTGAGGCGGTGCCTCCCGCCCTCGCCTACCCTCAGCTCGCGGCGGGCGAGGAGCGGCCGGGCGAGCCGGGCGTGTCCGCCTTCCAGACGCCGCTCTCCATCGCGGCCGCGCTGCGCGACGCCGAGCGCGTCGCCCTCCGCCAGCCTGCCGGATGGTATGGCGCGCTCGGGCCGGGTGCGCGCGCCGCGCCCGCGCCGCGCTTCCGGCTGTGTGACTTCGCTGCGCCGCCGACGGCGCCCTCGTCGCTGCCTCCGCTGCAGCCTCTGGGGGCGGCGTC